TAAACTATCACCCAATTCACAATAAAAACTTAAAATAGCCTGCTATATTTGATCCAACATTAGTAAACTCAGCCCTAATGTAATAGCGAGGAGTCCTGGTGTGGGGCTGTGGGTTAATGTGCCGCACTTTAAGATCAGTTTGAACCGTTGGGTTCAAATTCATCAAACGCTCCTCGGAAATGGTACACAAAGTTGATAAAGGTTGGAACCAATTCGACAGCACTTAACAACAACAACAATGTGATGGCTAGACTCCTACTGTGATTCTGTAGGATCAACACTAGACTGTGAACCACAAGCTCAGCAGTTCAAAATCACCACCAGCTGCTACTTGGAAACCCTATGGTGGTTATGTGCCGTGGAGTCAGTTCCAATTCATAGCGACCCTGTACAGTGTTTCTGAGGCTGTAAATCTTTACGGTAGCAGAAAGCCTCATCTTTCTCCCACGGAACAGCTGGTAGTTTTGAACTGCTGACCTTGAGGTTCACAGCCCAACTCGTAACCACTACGCTACCAGAGCTCCATGGAAACTGGGTCGTTATGAGTCAAAAACGATTCGTCAGCACTTAACAACATGATGACTGGAACTGCAGTTGCCTTGACAGGACCAGACCAAATGATTTTGCAGGCCTATGTAGCCCACAGGAATCCTGGTGTGGTTCTGCAGGTTAATGCACTGTACTGTAAGATCAGTCTGAACTGCAAGGTTGGTGGTTCAAGCTCACCAGCCACTCCTCAGAAACCCTATGCAGTATCATGATGAGTCTTACCAACTCGACAGCACATATGAACAACATGTGGCCCAAGGCCGGAGGCTCTCTACCCATGCTATATCTGAACAAGAAGTCCTTGATACAATGGATGAAAATAGACACATAGTTGTGAAAGCTGATGACATTAATGCCATAGTTCTCATATCTACAGAGGGGGGAAAAATCATCTATGTATAAGCACACATACACGGATACAGAAAATTTTAAGGAAGGCCGTGGTCAACTTTTTCTTACACACACGTTAGTTACCTTTTGTGACTAGTTACTCTTCTACCCTTCATCCCAAATTATGTAACTACTCAATTGTTTTTGTACCTAATTGGGTGGTTTTAGTTTAATATTTATTAAATTTCACCTTTTACTTTGTTAGAAAAAAAAGAAAACCTTGATTATATTATTATCTCAATAATGACAATTATTTAAGCACTTAGGATAAGCATGTAGGGGTTCATCTGCACTATTCTACTTCATTGTATACTTGAAATTTGACTTAATAGCTAAATAAAATGCTATAATGAATAAGTTAATGGGTTGTCTCTCACTTAAGATGAAAAAAAATTACCTTACCAGTATATCTGAAAGAACTTAAATTCTGATTCTTAAATCAGTTCTGTACTCTACTCACCTTATTAACTCAAGGCCCTCATTCATTTCATTACTGTAAAACTAAAGCAGCTTTATATTTGGTCTCTGATTCCCTTCTTTCCCCCTTTCATTCTTAGGTCTACCTTCTGACAGTTTCTGTTCCAGAAGGCAGATTTGGACACACAATTATGCTCAAGAACTTTTCAATGGCTTCCTATTTCCTACACAAATGTCTACAGGTCATTGTTATCACCTCTCCCCTACATCATTATGCACCTCAACTTTCTTATCAAGATGTTTTTGTTCATATTGCTCTCTCTGCCTATGTTCTCCATTCTCCACTCATACTAATGAAAATCATTCTCTTCGTTCGAATATCAACTCCCATTTGACTCATTCTTGACTCTGGAATGTGGGATGATCTTCTTTTTTCTTAACTCCCCACTGTACTTTATCAATGCCAACAACACAACATTCATATTGTTGCTCAATGCCATAGTAGTCCTGGTGTGGTACTGCAGGATAATGCACAGGATACCTCAAGGCCGGTTTGAACTGCAAGGTCGGTAGTTCAAACTCACCAGCCACTCCCTGGAAACCCTTTATAAAGGTTGCTGTGAGTCAGAACCACAGCACTTACCAACGATAATAAGTGCTGTCGAGTTGGTTCTAACTCAGAGCAACCCTGTATGGGGTTTCCACAGAGAGGTCGGTGGGTTTAAGATGCATACCTTGGGGGTTAGCAGCCCACTGCTTATCCTACAGTGTCACACCAAGACTCCAATATGTTGCTGGTGCTTTTGTTAGGTGTTATCTATCCAATTGGCTCTGATTCATAGCGACCCTGTATAAATAGGGTCTCCAAGGAGCGGTGGTAGGTATGACTGTCCACCTTGTAGTTAGCAGTCCAGTGTTGATCTTATAGCACCACATCAGGACTTTTTACATGCAAATGTCCATGTACCTACTTGGATCATGAGCTCCTTAAATACAAAGATCCTGTCTTACCACAGCATCTAGCACAGTGCCAGGCACATTACAAGTACCCAAAAACATCAAGAAAACTGGGGGAAGTTTTGTTTTTGCTTTCTCTCTCTTAGCCTATCTTAACAATTCAAGTTTAAACCTTTAATAGTCCATATCAATTAGGAGTTCATGATAAATGGTGGGTAAGTGGACATAAGGCTTGCATTTTCTTTTTCCAACCACACCATACTTTGTTACCAGAATCAAGTCACTTCACTTTTCAGTGTTTCCTGCTCACAAATACGCAACAACACCTCAAAGTCATCTTCCCTGTCTTCTAGGTATTCTAAACTTGAAGCATACTATACAAAGCCAACTCTCCTGTACTACTTTCCAAAAAGAATGTTGATTCAATAAAGCCGACTTTCTTAATAATCTTTTCATCTGTTATCTGTTCATTTAAAATATACATTTCTTTGCTCAAGTTGTTTCCTAGACCTAAACTTTTTCTTTTACTCTCCATATTTTAAAAGTTCTGATTAAAGTAGTATATGCTTTCTACTATTACATTAAACTTTAGAAATTAAAAAGTACAGGTCAAGAAAACAACTATGGCAAAGAAATGTATATTTTAAATGAATAAATGGGGATGAAAGGATTACTTAAGAAAATTAGCCATACTGGATATATAAACATTCAATGTCATTTTAATCCCAAAATAATCAACTCTCATTTTTCCAAATTTTATGGAAATTGTCTAAAATATTCTGCCACTTAATAATACCTAGCAGTCTTCATAAACTTTTTTATTCCAAAGAATTGTAGCATTATAGATAGTAAAAAGCATCTAATAATTCTCAATAAAACAATCACATAGAAATTGATACATGAATATTTCTTAAATTTATCTAAGGTAGCAAAAATACTTTTCTGAAATTCAAACGTAAATTTAACTGCAGCCAGAAAATGCCAAATTAAATCAATAAAATAGCATCCAACAGACCACAACATACAAAGAAAAAAGTGTTACACACATTAATGGTATAAACAACATCTTATTATCTAACCATTTCTGTAACTTATGAATATTTAAGCATATATTCAAAGCAAGAAATTTCACCAGACCTCACCTATCAAATTTATGCCCTTATTCATTGAGAATCAAATAAACATGATGAAAGCATTCAGTGACCTCCCTTCATATGACCAAATACAACTTAAAAATAATTTTTCAATAGACCGTGGATATAAAAAGCCCATTCATGATGGCTCTCTTCAATGAGACCAATTCCTAGGAGTTTTTTGGTTTTGTTTTTGATTTTGGTTAGGTTTTAAAAGTCTAGAGCAAAATGATAAATTATAAAGACCAGGCAGTTCATAAAGGAAGCGTTTGTTTCTGTTAAAAGAAAAGAAACACAACACTGCAAAATATTTCACCATCAAGATAACTTTTCTATCCATTATAATCAGTAGCAATATAAGGGTGCTTCAAAAGTCTGTGAAAAAACAGAATTAGAAGATAATGGATTTTTTTCATAAACAATTTGAAGCCCACTCATATATTCAATGCCTAAAAATATAGGACCTCAAAGCACCTGATGACCATTTAAAATAGAACAGACATTATCACGCACGTTTGAAACAGTAACAGCAGAACAAGAACCAAATACTTACCCAAAGTTGGAAGTAAATTAAAATGAAATTCTCTATACAGAACTGTGTCCAGCAGAGCGGTTACATCTGCGGATATAGCACATGCATTGCATAAGGCAGTATTTTGATGGACAGGACTACAGTCCCAAAGGGGGCACAGAGGTCTATGTCCAGCCCACAAAGTTCCCTGAGTATATAACACAATTTCAAAGCCACTCACAATCTTCATCCCAGAGGTGATCAATACAAGAATCAGATACTAGGATAAAGAGAGAGCATACAACCAAAGAAGGCAAACAAATCAGATTTTAAAATAGATTTGAGGGTTTCTGGATATTAATAGATGTATGAAAATATAGTATTTTTCTTTGGACCAAGTGTCTGATCATACCATGGAGTGGAGAAGCTAAAAGTCAGACTTGATATTCAAACGTTGCTACCAAACGTCAAACCCCTCACATAAACCTAGTGCTTATAAGCATTTAATTTTAAAAAATCAGAGATTTTCTTCTATATGTTGAATTCTTAAAGAGACTCTCTGAGAATGCTTAAGACTCTTGAAACAGCTTAAACAGTGAGATATTATACTAGTGACTTTGGTGCCATGCAAATTATAAGCAATATGTCATATTCCTTAAATTTAAAAAAAAAGAAAATTAAAAAAAAAAATCCCTCACATTGCTAATAAAGATTATAACAATGATCTATAATGAGAGTTTTGCCTAGCGCCTTAACATTGTCTAACCAGCAAGAAGCGAACATATACTGAGACTCAAAATAAAATCACAACATAAAGCAAGAAGAGTTTTACTTGGCATTTGTTAGTATAATAGGCTATAAATTCACATGCTTGCAAAAGTGGAGATAAAACAACAATCAGCAAATTTGTAAGTCACCAGGAAGCTGAAGGTTTGGAAAAAAGGTAGCTATTTCCACTTTAATTTTGTCACTTGAATAGTGGTATGTGAGCAGACTCAAGAACAAAATATGAGAGCAACCAAGGATAATTTACTAAAATTCACCTTAAAAAGATTGAATCTGCCATCTTGGATCTCTGCACCTGGTGTAACTTCCATAGTACAGTCTTCGGCCTAAGTTAAATAACATATTCCCCATTAAGATACCACATCATTTAAATAGGCCATATATAGACAAACTAGCTGTGGCTAGTCTGTAACTTGAAACTAAGAACATCAGATAATTATTAATATGAAACTCTGAAAGGAAAGGAAGGGAAAACAAATAAATATGGCAAAGAGAATGGAATTTTTAAACTATCATTTAGCATTTAACCACCTTTTTTAAGGAAACAGTTTGGGGGGAGGGTATCAAAATGGACAATGGAAAAGACAGGGGTATTATGGAATATTTACTAATTACCGTAATTTTATTTGTAGTAGAGGTAACTGGTATAACTTCAAGTCCCATTCGTATCCTCTTTTGTTTTTCACAGTAAGCTTTCCAAGTATCTTCATTAAATCCGTAATTAAAATAATCAGAGAGATCAGCACCTAAACACAAAACAAATTATATAAATATTCCAACCATTTATGCAGTATGTAAACATAATTATGAAAATCTCAACTTAGAATCTTCTGTCCTACTACTCTAATTCTACTAGTTCTCAAAATTATCACCATAAGATTTTAATTTTTTGATCACTCAATTCTCTTTAGAAATGATTATGAAATAATAAAATAATATGCAAATCAACATTTATAGTAATGTTAGGTCACCAGATTTAATAGTAAGTACACTCTGGTAGCGTAGTGGTTATGAGTTGGGCTGCCAACCTCAAGGTAAGCAGTTTGAAACTACCAGCAGGTCCGCGGGAGATAGATGAGGCATTCTGCTCCCGTAAAGATTTACAGCCTTGGAAACCCTGTACTTAATTAACAACAATTGTTACTTATTTGCTTAAGACAACAAAATTACATTACAAAATATTGTTAGGTGATGCTCAAATAATACTTTTCTAAGTACTGTTCATATTAGAAAAAAAAATTTAAACAAATACAATCCATGAAAGTATCACCTGGTTTCCGCCATGGTTTATCTTCAAAGGAATCCAAATCTACCTCCAAAAGTGGAACTCCATTAATACTTCCAGGTGCATCAAGGTCAACCCCTTTGACTTTTGTTCCTATGTTACAAAATGGAGATTTAGCTACATTAGCAAGAGACTAGGAGATACAATACACAAACAAAAACATAAGTAACTTTAATAGTCCTGGTACTAAGAAATGGCATGAGTTCCAAACAATGCATTAATACTAACCATGAAAGAAAGTATGTATTAACATTTATAGTTATATTGAATATACTGAACTAAGATATACTCAATATACAGATCAGAGAATATCTCTGGGAAGCCTGAGCCAGAGGCTGTCTACTCTTGTAAAAATTTAGTTTTGTAAACCCTATAATACAGGATTGTTATGGGTCAGAATCTACTTGATGGCAGTAGGTTTGAATATGGTTTGGGTGCCAACAGAAAGTTGCTATTGTCTATGTTTTAAATCACGATTTTAATACAGCAGAAGAGCTAAGAAAGAATTTTACATTTTTAAATAACTGTAAAGCCAACAACAGAAAATGTGACCAGCCTGGAACAGCTAGAGCAACAGAAGATACATCTTCAAAGAAAGATAAGTAGGAAAAACCCAAAACAAGCCAGTTGTTCGGGAAGCCATCAAGGCAAGCAATCGGGTCCCTTCAGGACAAACCCCTCCCCTCCAAGACTGAAACTCAAAGGGTACACTTGAGCAGACATATAAGCTTGCAGGTGACCACATTGGTCTACTGGTGAGTGCAAGAGGGAGTAAGGCAGCAGTGAAGAAATGGGCTGAGTTCAACCATGTTCCATGGACTCCCGTTGACCTAGAGATGACAGAGAGAAGGGCTGGCTGGTCCAAAATGTGGTGAGACCTGGGGACTCCTGAGCCCATGGACAAGGACACAGCCACAGAAGGCTAAAGCTGAGAATGAAGCATCCAGCTGATATGAAGTAAGGGGAGATGCACAAAAAATGCCCCAAATTGCAGACAGTACCCATTTGACCTACCCTCAATGCCTTGATAATCAGAACTCGACTAAAAAATAAAAAAATAACTTTTGATAAAGGAAACGAGGATAAATTGCTGCAGTTTGATGAACTTGTCACATACTTATGCATGTTGTTGTTATGTGCCGTGGAGTCAGTTCCTTTCATAACGACCCTGTACAGGGTTTTCGAGGCTGTATATCTTTACGGGAGCAGAAAGTAGTAGCTCAAAATACCAACTGAGAGGGAAGGAGTCTTCACATCAAGTATCAATCCTAACCCCTCTGTATACATGGCAGATAGGGAAGGGCAACTTAGACATTGGCTACCTAAAATGAGGGGGTGATAAAGGCACGAAGTGACTGGCTTACAAGTTCTCAAGAGGGAGTTTAGTTTAAGAATGCAGGGGGGGCAGATAGCGAGTCCCCACTGAACAGTTTTCATCTTGTGTAGAAAATATCTGAAAGGATCAACATGTAGCCTAAATTCTTCAGATGATCTATAATTTCGGGTGGAATATTTACAAGGCCATTATCTTGGGTATCGAATTTGTTTTAATTTTCTTCAGCTTCAGCCTGAATGTGCGTATGAGCAATTGATGGTCTGCCCCTGGCCTTGTTTTGGCTGATGATATGGAGCTCTTCCACCATCTCTTCAGACAGGTATGGTCGATTTGATTTCTGTGTATTGCACCTGATGAGGTCCAGTATGTTTTTTATGTTGTTTAAAAAACGTATTTCAATGAACAAGTCATTGGTCTTGCAAAACTTAATCATGGGAGCTCCAACACCATTTCTATCACCAAGTGATACTTCCAACTACTGATCCTTCCTCTTTGTTTCCAACCTGTACATTCCAATCACTTGTAATTATCAATACATCTTGATTGTGTTGATAATTACATGTTTGATCAATTTCAGACTGTAGAAGTTTGTAGAATTCTTCAATATCATCATTATTGTCTTTAGTGGCTGGTGCGTAAATTTGAGTAACATTGGGATTAACTGGTCTTCCTTTAGGTGTATGGATATTATCCTGTCACAGACAGTGTTGTACTTCAAGGCAGATCTTGGTATATTTTTTGATGGTGAACGTGATGCCATTCCTCTTTAATCTGTCATTGCCAGCATAGTAAACCATGTGATTGTCAGATTCAGAATGGCCAATACAGATCCATTTCAGCTAGGATATGGATGCTTATGTGTTCCATTTCATTTTTGACAATTTCCAATGTTTCTAGACTCATACTTTTGTACATTCTACGTTCCAATTATTAATGGATGTTTACAACTCTTTCTTTTCATTTTGAGTTGTGCCCCATGAGCAAATGAAGGTACCAAGGGCTTTACTTCATTTACGTCATCACAGTCAACTCTACCTTGAGGAGGCAGCTCTTCCCCAGTCACATTTAGAGTGCCTTCCAATCTAAGAGTCTCATATTCCAGCAATGTATCTGACAATATTCTGGTGTTCTTCATTGTATTTCAATAATCAATAATCTGGTGCACACGGTGTTCCACTGCTATCCATAAGGTTTTCAGTGATTAAATATCTGGAAGCAGTCTGTCTCTCCTTTTTCCTAGTCTGTCTTCATCTGGAAGCTCAACTGAAACCTGCCCACTGTGGGTACCCCTGCTGGTATTTAAAATACCCGTGGCATAGCTTCCATAATCACAGCAAGACACAAGCCACCACAATACAATAAACTATCAGATGAGTAGTGAATTCGATGCATTAGACACTAAAGACTGAAGACCAGAAGAGTTGTGGGATGACATCAAGAACATCATACAGGAAGAGAGCAAAAGGTCATTAGAAGGAAAAGATCAAAATGAATTTGAAATTTGCTCTCCATTATAGAGATGCAAAAGCAAATAGAAGCAGGAGGTTGTTGTTGTTGTTGTTGTCAGGAGCCATCAAGTCAGAACCGACTCACAGCGACCCCATGCACAGCAGACCGAAACAATGTCCGATCCTGGGCCAACCTCATTACCACTGCCACACCTGAGTCCATCAACGATGCCACCTGGCCGATCCATCTTTTTGGGGGGTTTCCTCTTTTTTTCTGACCCTCCACCTTAGCCAGCATGACATCCTTCTCCAACGATTGTTTCCGCCGGACAATATGTCCAAAGTAGGAGAGACGAAGCTTAGCCATCCTGGCCTCCAAGGAGCACTCTGGCTGCACGTCTTCCAAAACAGATCTATTGTTTCTTTTGGCAGTCCATGGCACTTCCAGTATTCTCCTCCAACACCACAACTCAAAGGCATCAATTCTTCTATGATCTTCCTTACTCACTGTCCAGCTTTCGCATCCATATGAGGCTATTGAAAACACAATGGCCTGGGTCAGGCGCACCTTAGTCCTCAAGCTGACATCTCTGTTCTTCAAT